TGCAAGACTTCAGGAAAAGTTTGAAGCAAATGTAAAACGAAAGGGAGAGCTAGAACATCAGGTATTGTTTGTGAATTCACTTCTGTTTCTAACTTCCAACCTGTTTTCCACTTCAACTATTTCGTAACGTACCGTCCCTTGTGTCAACGTCATTAATTCGTGTACTCAGGAAGCCAACAAATATGCTACCTGCGGCACGGTTGAATTGAAAAACATGCGTAATCCCTACTGTACAAATTGATCGGAGTTTTGTTTAAATGGATCATTTTATTTCCATTAAGGTTGATATGTGTTCCAAGAAACTTGAACGTGCGGAGAAATTGATCAGCGGTTTAGGAGGCGAGAAAACAAGGTACAAATACAGAGCACACCTCCTGTGGGTATGCACTAACATGTCTCACCCTGGGCTGCAAAAACGTTGTACACGCCGCCTGCCAAGAGCAGGTGTCTAAGACGATATCCTTTTGGATGAGGCCTTCATTCCCCCCCCACTTTTAGGACTTGTATTTTGTCCGGAAGTATAATTCGGGTATAACATTGTGCCGGGAGGGTAATACTGTATAAACGCATTGAATTTCCATGCTTTGGATTTGAATACTTTGTTTCGGAGTCTTTCACAAAGATGCTAACACGATGTTTTATTTGTCAGGTGGACGAGTGCAGCAGAACAGCTTGGTATATTGTTTAAAAACTTGGTCGGAGATGTTCTTATCTCGTCTGCAGTTGTCGCTTATCTTGGCGCTTTTACGTCTGCGTTTAGACAGGTTCGTACGTAGGATCGTGTTTTTACCGTATTAAGGGAAAACTATTCGGATGCGCGAAGGACGAGCAAATTGAATTCTTTCTCTCTTATAAACAGCGGAATTAAATAGAGTATTATGTAATTCTGCCGTGGGCTACCGAACCGGAGTGCCGCGAGGTCTCTGGTTTGGCATACCAACGCTCTGACGATTGAGCTGTTGGTACTACAAGATTTTGTGAATGTTTATTTTTCACTTTAGGAACAAATTAAACAGTGGCAAGAACTATGTTTGTCGAATGGCATCCCGTGTTCAAAAGATTTCTCGGTCACTGGAACATTTGGTGATCCTGTGAAAATTCGGGACTGGAATATCTGGGGATTGCCAACTGATTCCTTTTCCGTAGAGAATGGAATTATTATAAGGTAATAAGAGAGTGTGTTTGTATGAACAGTATATACTTGAGGGATTACAGGATTCAACTAGACTAGCAGTGTAATTCGGGCCAATATATATATTTTTTTAGAAATAAAATCTCTAATTGCATTCTGCATATTCGCACTCAAGAATATACTAGTTCTCTTTGTTATATTTAGTAATGCAAATCGTTGGCCGCTGTGTATCGATCCTCAAGGTCAAGCGAACAAGTGGATTAAGAATATGGAGAAAAAGAATAACTTGCACGTGATCAAGTTAACAGATCAAGATTATGTAAGAACATTGGAGAATTGTATTCAGTTTGGAACACCAGTAAGTTATATACTTGTTTCTTGCCTTAATGCTTTACCTTACAAAAACCAAACCTTACCTTATCGTACCAAACTATATTATGCTATTCCATAGTTTACCTTACCATACCATATACCATACCATATACCATACCATATACCATACCATATACCATACCATATACCATACCATATACCATACCATATACCATACCATATACCATGCCATATACCATACCATATACCATACCATATACCATACCATATACCATACCATA